CTGCTTAATAAGGCAAAGAGAATGTGAAGAAATGAAATACATAATATCAGCATTCTGCCAGAACACATCAATAAATTTATATGCTCCAAGAAGTCATTCCTACATGGAGAAACTAGTCAAAAGCTAAAGCATCTTGGACTTGATATAGATAAATAAGTTATTTTACTGCATACAAGAAAGAAGCTTTATGCAAAAGATCTGCTCATTATAGAACACAAGCTTCAAGCCCTTGTTTCTTTCTTATTCATCTTTGAAATAAATTCTACAGCCCTGAAAACAAGGTATCATAAATCTTTCATAGAAGTCTTTTTTCAATGTGAAAATTGTAACACAGATTACAGTACAGTTAAATCACAATCAAATTGCATACATTGTTTATCTGCCAGTCTAAGTTTTTCTGTTGACAGTAGTATGCCATTTTTACAGAAGCCATAGCTTCAGGATGATAGTTACATCCTGCCCATCTTTGAATTTGTAAAGATACAGCCCTGTGTCTAGAAGCAAATGCAATTTAGCATGTATCATTTACTATTGGCGCAAATACACATAACAATTTTTTAATTGTTTCCAGTTAAGGATTGATGTAAACTGCCATGTTGAATATTTCATCCTTGAGCCAGAGGCAAGGATCAGACAATCCTCCCTGCAAAGATGATTTCTTGGCATTAAACTTACTCTGAAGAGTATGTGAACAGTTAAAAGACGATAAAAACAATTGCCTGATCTGCATTTAACACTATCTCATTTGACTCTAAACAAAGAGTCTTGATACTTCTGAAAGGAATAAATTATTTGCTTTGCAAACCTAATAGCATCTTAAGCCACAAATACATGTTGGAGAGATTAAGGCTGTGTTTCTCAACCTCAGCAATTTAAAGATGTATGGACTTCAATTCCCAAAACTGGCAGGCATGGGAATTTTGGGAGTTGAAGTCCATACATTTTATAGTTGTTGAGGTTGAGAAAAATTGGATTAAGGGGAAAGCTCCAGCACTGATAGTTAGAGTTAGATCAAGCAAGAGACATCTGCTTGGTATGAGATAATCGCCATGAAATGTGAATGAGTGTTTGGAACAGATTGCTTAGAATAATATGCCATTTTCATGAAAAACCATCTCCCTTTGAATAAAACAGTTAATAAGCATACAGAAATATTTCACAATGAAAAGCAGAATTATGGCAAGAAAAATTCATGAACATTAATTCAAAATATTCCAAGCCCAGCCTTCCTCTCCATCCCATCCTTACATAAATCCATGTGGAGCAAAAAAAAAAATCTAAAATTGGACAAACAAATATGTAAAACCATGAGTCTGTTCTATGACAGGTTATATGGGACCCAGTCCATAAGCTCACTAATAGACAAAGAGATTTGAGAGTTCCACTGAGTAGCAAGTCTAATAAATAAATAGATTGCTGAGTGCACGGCCATTTAGTTCAATAACATCCTGTACATCACGAGATCATCAAATAAATGAAAAAATGAACATGTGGAAAAGTTAAATCCACATAATACACCACAGCCTTTTTTCCTCCTTTAGGAAAATAGGCACTAGGGCTTATATATGCCATCTTTTAAGAATGCATAAGGGTCAGGGGAACATTCTAATCTGAAAATTACTAAAAAAAAAAAAGCGTCATGGAAATAAGCATTTCCCTATTTTTAGAATTAATTAGAAGCCAATCAGTGAGTATTTATGCATGATTTATCTTATGTTTAGAAGATTTTCCAAAAGGATACATTAATTTAAAAACACAGCTATACCAATCTACTTTAAAATAAACATTACATTTTTAAAGTGAATTTTTCCTCACCATTTCCTTTACTGCAGTCATTAAAACATTTTTAATATTAAAATTAATGTGATTCTTTATTTCCTTTTTTCAGTCCAAATGCAAAACTTCATTCTTGCTTTATCATCTGTTTTGCATTCAAGCAGGAATAAAAACCCACCAAGATTTATGTCCTTGATGGAAGAATAATACGCTTCCATTTTCTGTCTACCACTCAACCTCTTTATGAAACAAAATAATGACACCCTATCAGTGGTTTGGCAAACATATCCTTGACTTATGGTAAATAATCTAAGATGATTAAAGTCCTAGAGACCAAAACACATGAAGAACAGTTGCAGGATTTGGGAATGGCAAGTCTAGAGAAAAGAATAACTAGAGGGGACATGATAGCGGTGTTCCAGTATTTGAGAGGAGAGGGTCAATTTATTTTCCAAAGCACCAGAAGGCAATACAAGAAACAATGGATGGAAACTAATCAAGGAGATCAGCAACCTGGAATTAAGGAGAAACTTCCTAACAGTGAGGACAATTAACCAGTGGAACAGCTTGCCTTCAGACATTATGGGTGCTTCATCACTCAAGGTTTTTAAGAGACTGGACAGCCACTTGTCTGAAATGATATAGGGTCTCCTGCTTGAGAATGGGGCTGGACTAGAAGACCTCCAAGGTTCCTTCCAACTCTATTCTATTCTGTTCTATTCTATTCTATTCTATTCTATTCTATTCTATTAATGCAGAACTTCAGTGGATCATAAATAGACGATGGTGCTTGACAGATTTTATTTCAGATTTTGATAGTGACCAATTTCATTCCAGAATCAAGGGTTATCTACTATGGAGTCAGCTGCTTTATCAAAAATTTGTATGAAACCAGAACATCTCTAGGATCGTAAGCCTTCTTTAAAATGATGAAAACAGCATCACATTGTTGCAGTGCAAACTCTTCTGTTTTTTTTTTCTCCTCCATTTATTAGTTTTTCATAAAAAAAAAAAACCTCCCTAACAATCTCATCAGATACTCTAGCAACATTGTTTTTCTATTTGGCCTGGGCTTAGCTGGAATGACCATGTTGTGAATTTTGTCCTAGTATCTTCCACTCAGTTTTTCTAGTAGTTCAAAGAAAAAAAATGGTCCCAATTACTACAATGCCAACTGTACACAATTACTTAATTGTTCAAGTATCATGCAAGAATTCAATAGAAAAGCTCAGTATAGAACTCAGAGCAATGTCAGATAAAATAGGTAATGAAATTAGGAAAGAAACAGACATTGTCAGAAAATCTAGAATAGTTTTATGATCTTTCTTTACTTTCAAACATGTATCCTATTGATAGTGTATTATCAAGAAATTAATTATCTCTGAACAAAGTTTAGATATCATGCCAAATCCTTATAAAATCATTATGCTATAGTTGTAGATGTAGAAATTGGTCTGGTGAAAATATAGAATACTTCCTGAAAAAGAACAAACTGCAGCACACATGTATACAACTGCAATGGAACTTGCAATTGAACTCTATAGACTGGGGGCCAGCAGTTCTTTAGCCGTTGACTAAGTTCCTGTGATATCAGAGAGAACATAATGAGGAAATGGCTCACCAAAACCATTGCCAGCTGATCAGCATATCAGTATGGTGCTCCTGAATAAGATCTGTGCAAAGGATTGCTATTGCAAAGCCACAATTGTCAACACATATCTAAACAACACTTTCTCTAATTGTTGCAATCTTCTCTTCTTATGTTAAAGTCTTGTGATTCATTCAGAGTGAGGCTTAGAAAACAGAAACAGAAATCTCTGTCTACTGGTCACAGAATTTTTGTCATGATCCAACTCAAACTACATTGTGGTCTGAGTTAATAATGTCAATGTTATGGAAAAGGACTTTATTTTCCAGTTCTTAGACCAGATGCAGATAAATCTAAATTGTGTCTCCAAGCCCACGATTAGGTCAAAGAGTTATCATGATTGGAAGTTCCTTGTCTATGATTTTATTAAAACAAGTCCTTTACTAAGCCAAATTTCTATACTCAAGATGTAGTCCTCCTTCTATAGTAGAGTTCTGTCCTTTATCTAACACCCAAGAAGGAAATCACAATCACCATAGATCTATGAGTTATCTTGACAAGGCAAATGGGTGAAACTTAACATTTGTGCAAAGGATAAAACTTTATGACCTTTTAGGTAGCAGGTGAAAGAGGACAAAAGGTACAAGAAATATTGTTCTGAGAAACTAGTCCTTTCCCTCTCTAGTCTTTTCCCAATACTAACTGTTTGTGTCTATAAAGAGCCATTTATACGGTTTTATAGTATCTTGGAGATCTGGTATGAGAAAAGTGTTATATCCTACTCTTACCATCAGGAACCTCTGATCTCATCACCACCACCACCACCACAAATATCACCTTGAAAGCTGATATTTCAAGTTTAAAGGAAAGAGATTCTCTCCATCACCACATTTATTTGGCTGTACCTCATTAACCCAATGTGGCATTGCATTTACCCAACCTGGTTTAAAATAATTATCAGTGGCATCATAATACACAGAAATATATTTCCCACTTGCCAATTAAGTGCTAAAATGCCTTATCTTTCTTCTCTCAATCCATTAGTAAAGAGTCGATTCCATACAGTCAAGACATGCCAACTCTGAGCTATACATATTCAGCAGCCAATAAACACATATTCTCACTGGGAGTTCTGCCAGCTTCTGTCAAACATGATTAAAGATTAAAAAATAAAAAACAAACATTGCTGTCCCTTGTCCCTTGAACTAAAAGAAGAAGATGAAAATGACTGTCCTATTCCAAAGCAATGCTTTAGGTAAGATCAGGTCTGTCCTTGCACTTAAATTCTTGAAAATACTATTTATATGCACTGAATTCTATATTATTATAGACACTCTGTGCTTATGGAGAAATATCAGTTGGGATGGGATGTTCTCTTATTTCTTCATTCTATTGGCCTAATTAAAATTCCATCTTGAGGTTATTGTTGTGAAAATAATCAAAATTCCTTTGAGTCATAGTTCTTACTTGGACACCACATAATCTAGATAAGATGCAGCTAGAAATCCTGGATTTCAGCAGGGAAAAAGCAGAAGCCCTTAGGACATTATTTAACTGTTTGGTCAAAGAAGTGGAAAGTTCAAACTAGACAGAAATTCTTCATACAGACTGAAGGTCTGAAAAAGACTGTACTTACGGTCTTTGAGTTCAGATTCAGAAAGAACAATTGGAGGCTGTAGAGCAGTACTCTCCAAATTGGCAAATTTAAGATGTATTCCCAGAACTGTCCAGCCTGGGCTTGAGTTTGAGAAATGCTGCTCTAGAATACAGGAGAGGAGTTTATGTATCCACAAGGTGTCTGTTCAAATCTTTAATTTATTTAGGATTTTTTAATTTATTTTTATTTAGAAGACAGAACTTTTGGAAAATTACACTGCATTCATTTGACAGTCATTTTTAATTTCCATTATTGTAATAGAATTAAAATAAATTTCTCAAACACCAAACTCAACATGAGCAGATTGTTTTAGCTATGATGCAAAGATAACAGATGGTAGGATTTATATATAATTCAGGTAAATGGGACATGGGACTTTCAGGACAAATGTTTATTATCAGGACCTAAATAGCTGAGTCAATAGTTGTGAGAAAAGCTCTTCTTTCTTTCTATATGCTGTAATCTTGATTAATGTCATTTGAACCAATAATTACAGCAATTTTGGCTCCCCTGACTGTTTTTTTTTTAAACATAGGATTTGTCCAAGTGCTGGCAAGGATCCCAGCTTCTTTCATGTGGATTGCACACTTTTGTAATCCAAAATCTAGATTGGATTTAAAGAACTATTTTGCAGTTTCTCAATTTTCATAACAACAGGCTTATTATATCATTTAATATCTTGACTGTATTTCAATCAATATTAAATATTTGCTCAGAGCATTGCAGAAAGCAGCAGAAGTAATTCATTTAGAGAGGAGGGGGAAAGTATGAAAGCAGAAGGATAAGAGACCAGCTTGCTTGAATCCATTCTTTTCATGTTTCATATGTCACTGAAATGATGTGCCCTGGGCTCTTAAATTCTGGTGTTTTTTTCTGATTTAGATGCTAGGATTAATTTGTGTTTTATTACATTAGCCTTCCCTAATCAAGTGCCTTCCGGTTGTCTGGATTCAGTTCCCAGAATTCCAGCAGAGGAGTGAAATCAGTTTGGGGAAGGCGATGTTAAACATGATTTAAAAGGCATGGAAGACCTATGCTAGCAACCAGAAATATTTTGCTCCTTCTCCAGTAGTTCTAATGTTAAAGATCTAAGAATCTAGAAAAGAAATGTTAAACACAGTTACTAAAATAGTCTGTATTTAAGCAATCTGAACTTACAATTGACTGAGATGAGATGGACAACAACTGCCAAGTACAGCTCTTCTTTTTCTGAAAATAAGACTGAAATAAAAAAATCAATGCAAATTTCCACACACACTTTGCTTGTCTGTAATTAGAAGAGCTCTCTAGATGAACTAAAGTTCTGTTCATATGTTTTATGCCAATTTGGTCTTGATGTCCAGAAAAGAATTTTGAAAATAAATATGAACTTTTAGTGATCCTAGTGGAAAGAGAAAATTTGCTGATGACTTGAAAGTATCTCCAGGGCACTGGGGTTGCACAAAAAAACAAAATGCATAAGAAAAGCAGTGGTGGGGAAGGGGGGTGTTATTTTGTTTTTTGTTTTGCAGCTGTTTGCATAGCCTGCAGTTTGATACTTTGAAGGTACTACCTAAGGAATATTTTGAAAGGAAAGAGGGAAATTTCTAGTCTATTTTTTACTTCATGACATTTTCACATCTGTTCCCCCACGAGTCTATTCTGTCCTGTTTTTGCATAGGTTTATGTACTGCATAAATATAACATGTAAGCCTGTGTTTGAAAACATGTCCTCTATCAAAATGCACATAAATGGTACAAATTATAGAGAAGCTGTTCTCTAAACATTTTATAAATAAAAAAGTTTCTGAGACATGTGGGTCAAGTAAGTTCTGATGAAAATGAGCAAAAGATCAAATTTCCTGAAACTTTCTAGTCAATAGTTTGGATTGTTGATAACTTATGCATGATACATCTACATCAGTACTATTGTAACAGATTTACATATTAATGAAAAAAATAATCATAGAATAAACATGATTAAATATCCATTATACTTCATATTTGTTTTCTTGGTAAACTATATTATGCAGAGCACTGAAAAGGAGAAAAAACACTAAAATTAAAAAATTAAAAGCAAAAGGAGACAACAAGAGAAGATTAGTTTATGTTCACAGCAGTTTTCTGTTCCTGTAAATAACCTATTTCTTATCTATCTATCTATCTATCTATCTATCTATCTATCTATCTATCTATCTATCTATCTATCTATCTCTTTATATATTGCCTTTTTTCTTTTGTTATTTAAACTTTTCAGCTCTCTTTCTGAGGATCTCATCAATTCCATCCAGCATTGACTTTTTCAGTCTTCCCCTTTCTTACAACCCATTCATTCTTGCTTCATATATTCAAGTCCTCATTCATCCTGCTTGCATAACCAAATCACCTTGATGACCCTTTTTCATACTGGTCACTATTTTTTATTGCATCTGTTTCAATCCAGCATCCATTCATTCTTGACCTTACATTTCTTGTTTTACCATACACTTCACAGATTTCCACTTCATTCAATTTTATTCTTACAGTGTGTTGCATTTGATCTACCCAACTAGCAATAGAGATGCAGTCAACATTCTGGAATTATCCCATTATTCAGTTTCTGACTTTCTATTAAAGAATATTATTAGGATAATTTCTCTAAGAAATACATGTAATAATGATGCTGAACACATATGAATTGTTAAGTGCCATCTCAGGTTTTTTTTAACAAAGTAGACATTCTGATAAATGAACTTCTGAGGTACAAAAATGACACCTGACTACTACTGAGTGTGTTCAAAAACTTTAAGTAGAAGAGGTTAACAAAACCTAATTATATGTTACAAATAAATAGCCTGGAAGTATCACTAATGGAAGAAACCAAATTATCTGACTTGAAGATTTATGAACTTTATGTGTGAAATCTGATTGAGAGATTCTGGGATAATTAAACCAAGTCACATGTTTTATACCCATATTATAATCCATCTGAATTTCCTTCACTGTGTTGTGCTTTGAAAGTATAAAGGAAGATTTGCTAAGAAGTTACTCTAAAGTGTTTGCTGTTTTTGTTCTGCCTTTGTGGCTACAACACATTCACATTCCTTGTGGATGGTGATGAGAAGCTTTTCCTTTTACTGACCTTCTGTACATTTGCTTTTAACTTAATGAAATTTACAGCCAATAATCCATGATCATTGTGGCTCTATGCTGTGACAATTTATCTGTGCTACTTTTTGGCAGTAAGGGAGAAGTGCCTTTCATACATATATTATTTTAGATCAGCTCAAGGTATCCAGTGTTATATTTTAGACTTTAAATGAAAGTGAGATTTTAATAGGAAGGGGAATGTTAGATTTAACAAATGCTAAGAGCTCATTTTTAAATAAATTCCTGGTTTAAATAATACAAAAATAAGTCAATATATTTAAAAGAGTTAGTTGTGGTAATTATGGATTGTTTGATTCAAATTTAATGCTCTTTCATGGAAGGCAAATTTTAATTGCACAAGGGCTTCTTACATTCTAGAAAGAATACAAAGAAGAGCAACAAAGATGATTAGAGGACTGTAGGCTAAAACATATAAAGAGCAGTTGCTGGAATTGGGTATATCAAGTTTAATGAAGAGAAGGACTAGAGGTGACATGATAGCAGTGTTCCAATATCTCAGGGGTTGCCACAAAGAGGAAGTCAAGCTATTCTCCAAAGTACCTGAAGACAGGACAAGAAGCAATGGATGGAAACTAATCAAGGAGAGAAGCAACCTAGAACTAAGGAGAAATTTCCTGGCAGTTAGAACAACTGCCTCCAGAAGTTGTGAATGCTCAACACTGGAAATTTTTAAAAAGAGACTGGACAATCATTTGTCTGAAATGATATAGGGCAGTGATGGCAAACCTTTTAGAGCCCAAAGACCACTAGCACAGACCTTGTTAACCCGGGCGACATCTGAGCCAGCATGGCTTTCTGTAATTTACATCTCACCATATTTTTTTATGGGAGAGATACTCTTTGTCTGACTCCTCTGATGAGACCTGTCCAGTATGGTTGAACCTCTGGCATAGCTCTCATTTTTCTCAGAGTACACAAGCCCCACAACCATGTCAAGGTAGTGCCTCACTGGGGGATTATTGTTGTTGTTGTTGTTTTTATTTTCTTTCCAGGAAATAAGGATGCCAATAAGAAGATTCTTGTAAAAATTTACATAAAACATTCTTTTAGATTAAAGCATATAGGAGACCCTGGTTACTCTATTCATAAAACTCCCCATCATAATACAGTACATGAAATATGGTTGATACCCATAAATCAGCAAAAAAATGATCAGAAGGAACATATGTGGGATTATTTTCTGTACACATTCCTATCGCTAGTATAACTATGAAACTAGCTCTAGAAGCTAGTACTGAAGGCATTTGAGTGCCAAAATCTCAGAACAAACCTTGTGGTTCCCAGTATCATCCAATCAAGGTGTTACAAGAACAGTAGCTTTCCTCTTCACTTAGTCCTTGAGATGGTTCTGATGAGTTACTATGCTCCAATAAAGCCAATGAGCCACAATTGTTTAAATAAGAATTTCTGACATATTTTATTCATGCATAGTTTTATTGGATTTTTGTTCCAAAGACTTGGTTCATCACAGCTTTATCTAAGACTAGAGTAGCCAATCATTATCCCAACCTAAAATTCACTCTGAAATGTTTTACTTAACAAATTAGCAATTGATTCAGTGATCTGACGTCATCCAAATATATACAAATACCAATATCTGCATGCCATTTCCTCATTAACCAATCCTTTCTAGGATTACCCAACACTGATCTCTCTCTTTTTTTCCCCTCCCTCCCTCCCTCCTTCTCTCTCTCTCTCTCTCTTTCTCCCCCTCTCCCTCTACCTCTCCATCCATTTCGCTCTCGGAAGCCAGTAACTTCCAAAGTAGGTACATGAACTTTATTAACCCCTCTACAAAGTGGAAACGGCTTATAGAATAAATTGTTTACACTGGATAAATATGATGCAAGTCATTTGTGAAACAGCAGATCTGCAACTCCTCCAAACATCTGTTTGTTTTGGATATTTCAGGCACAAGTTGAATGTTTTGGTTTTTAATTGTGAGTTGTTTTGTTTGTACCCAAATATATGAAGATGAACTTTTGAGTAAAGAAATTACTGAACAGTATTCAGCTTTTTCTTCTCTATTTTAGAGTATACCTTATTAGCAAAGGTCAAGTAGTGGTCAAAATCAAGATGAAAGTTTTAATGCAGATAAATCTAAAGTGCTTCTTCAAATAGCAGAAAATAGATAGGATGCACCTGGTTTTACAGCAATACATATGAACAGAATTTAGCAATTTTAATAAGCTATTAACTGAATGGGAATTAGCAATGGGTCTTTAGCTAAAAAGAACACCAAGAAATCTGATCATGGGAATCTCAAATTATACCTAGATTAATTATATTAAAATAAAGAGATTCTTATTAGAAATAATAGCAAGTAGTCAGCCCGTTGCCTCTTTGAAATTGGGCATTATTAACATCCAATGTTTCACAACTAGAAACTGATATTCTAAACTCTGCAAAATTGAAACATCTGCACATTTTTTTATCTTTTCTAACTTTTTCCTAGCATATATAGTTTTGCATACAATTTTGCCTATTTAACCATTTTTGACATGGGTAGCCCTATCCAGAATGTATATAAAAATATAGATCCCATTCTTCTAATACCAATCCATTACTCTTTTTAATAGATACTATTTATGAGCAACATTCCCAAACATAAGCTCTTTTTTGGAGGGGGGGAGTTGTCTTTGAATTGTTTACAGTGTTCGGAGCAAGCAAAATAGGGAGATGGAACATGGCCTGCTTAGGTGACCAGGATGAGGTAAGTGTGTAGATCTGGTTAATTCTTAGATGGGAAGCTACGGTGACATTAAAGATTAAAGGTAAGAATGAGCAATATTTTTTTTTTAATTGTGAAAGTAAGCAATGGCAGGCTACATCCATATTACTGGCAATAAAACTCTGTAAACCAGTGTTTCTCAACCTTGCCAACTTTAAGATATGTGGACTTCGACTCCTGCTGAGGAATTCTGGGAGTTGAAGTCCACACATCTTAAAGTGACCAAGGTTGAGAAACACTGCTATAGACATATCTATGAAGATGCCAGAAGTAAAGTTTATCTCCAGTTGCTCTTTTTTTTTTTTTTTAAACCTATTCACTGCTTTTCTTCTGAGGAATACATCTTGGTTGAATTGTTCTCACTGAGTTATATGATGACTTTTTTTTACATTCCTAGCCAACATTTTTCAATTGACACAGTCATTAATAAGTTTTTCAAAGCAGATAACAGACCCTGGGACAAGTACTTTTTTTCCAGATAAATTTAGGGGATTGCCTGTTCTTGAAACAAACAAACAATTCTGGTATTTTAGCTGGATCTCAAAGAGAAAACAGGAGACCTATGTGATAAATCCAGAAGTAGAAAGTATTTAGTATATCTGGCCACCTACAGATTTTAATACATCTTGACTGATCTAATACTTACTTCAGGATTTTCTATACATATATAGATACTGCATATACAGTATCTGAAAATTAATTTTAGTTTATAGTTGCAGGCATCTTAGGTAATTATTACCATTGTTCAGTGTTGATTCAGACATGTACATGAGGATATGTATCTTCTTTAGGGTATGTATGTTGTCAATAATATGCAATGAAAGAAATAAACTTGCAGTTACCTTATTGTCTGGTGTCCTCTTTATATGCATCCTTCGAATTGCCCAGCAAAGATGCCACACCTGCAATCATAAATTGTGCATTATCTTTCCAGTGTCACCACTTTATACACAAATCTCTGCCCCAAGGTGTCAAAATTAATGGTCAACTCAATTTAAATGAATGGAAATAAAAAAGTAGCAAATTTAGAACCTGAAAAACAATTTTTTTGTCAACAAAAATAAATAGATGATTATTGTTTCAATCAAGTGGTATATATGAATTCAACTTTATGTTCTTAAGGCAATACTTTTGAGCTAATAACACAGTCTTGTAAGCTGGTAATGAAAAGAATGCTTGTGCCATCTAGTGGTTTGCAGAATAATTACCCAAACTGTATCCTAAAAAATTTTCATAAGGACATTTGTATTCATGAAATGCAATGGTTATAGTAGCACAATACCTCCCCAGTTCTCCTTATTTATCCATCAATTATGGATCAATATAGCTTCAGCAACTCCCATGTCCTCACATGCCTTGAGAAATCTGCACTATGGCCAACTCCATTGCCCTTTTGTTTTCAGTAAGATATAGAAATCAGGCTACAAGATAGATTTCTAAAGCCATCAACTCTACCATTTAAAAGACTTCTCTGAAAATGTTTAGATCATTTTGATAGTCTCTATATTCTTTGTCCAATCTCTCAACTGAAGTTTCAAATAAGCTGTCCACAATACACTACCAAGTTTGGTACTGCAAAGTTCTTGAACTGCAAGCTTCAATGTACAAGAGCATTTCACACAAGCTGTGCATGTTTCAGACATGATTTGGAAGCACTGCTTTGGATCCCAAAAGTGCAACCCTCTCCTGCTACTCATTAAAGCAGACTAAATTTTTTCTGGCTTTCATGAAATCCTGATGAAAGGGGTAGGGGGTTAAGTTTAATTAGTTAGTTCCTCAAAGCAGCAGCATTATTTCCACAGAAGTCGGGGGGGGGGAATTGGACTGTCCAGAGAGCTTTTTCCAAAACATGTTTGACGCATGCATCGTACTATTTCATGCCAACAAGATAACAAAGTTGTGTGCAAATTCTTTTGAACATTATCCAAGATTTAAGCATCAGCTGTTCCTGATTCTAATATGGAATTATTCCAGTTGCTTTTATATTTTTAAAAAGGTCTGCTTCACTAAGATGAGCCCCTCATTTATCTCAATTAGTTTTAACTCAACCTTTGGGCTACAATTTTACAAAAACTCCATATTAAAAAAAATGAGAGGCAATGTTATGCAGATTACTTTCAGGGGTATCAATAGGGAGTCAAAAAAAAGTCAAGAGGGTGCCTGGAGTCATGTGATCAATATCTCCCCTTTTTTATCCATGTTGCACACGCAGTACATATACAAAGAGGTGGGGCTTCAATCACATGAGCACCATCTGGACTTTATGTCCTCCTCCCCTTCCCCCATGCCCCTGATTGCTTTATGAAGTTGCTTTGGAAACTTTGGAAATACTATGAAAGCATAATCTATGGTGTCATCAGAGAAAACTATAAGGATCTTTAAGTACCTCAAAAGGGAAAAGTTTGAATCACTTGGAAAGAAATTCCATGATTTGGAAACACTGCTGATAAAAATCCTGGCATAAGCAACATACAGTATAGTGAATGAAAAGCCACTCCATACTGCATTCTAAAACTAATCATCTACAAAATATTATTTCAACCAGCAGCAGATGAATGCTAAAATTGGTGGTATCAACCTCCACTGACAGTTCCCCAAGTTCATCAAGTTCCAAGCAAAAGACATCTATCACAGAAACCAAGCTCTTTACATATCAAACATAGCACAACCCATATCTAAGATTTAATCATATATGGCAAGATGTAATTTCAAAAAAAATAGTTTACAAGGACTGGAAAAAACAGAAAAAAATATACATTTATAATACTCAACTGAAATAAGTAAGGAACAAATAGAGATAATTCAGGAAATATTTGTGAATGCACAGAATGTCTTCAGCTCAGTTCAGAGTTAAAAGAGATATAAAGGAAACAGAAGAACAAGGAGATATACCAACTATCAAAAGGAGTAGAAGGAAGAAAAGGAAAGGGCTTTGTCTGATGCTAGAAGACAGTAAGATGACAGCCTACAGGGAGGATGCAGACCTCCTAAATCCCTATTTTGCTTCCATTTCTCATCAGAGAGGAACGGTGCTCAAATGTTTTAATCAGAGCAATAGGAGGATAGGAAGGAATAGCAGCCCAAATTGAGTAAATAGGTACTTGAGCGACACTTGGCTACCTTGAAGAAGTTTAAATTTCAGACCCAGATTGATTACATTTGACAGTCTTGAAGAAGCTTGTGAATATAATCTCAATGGCCCTTTCTCTGATCCTTGAGGGTTGGAGACAGACAGATGTTGTTCCCAGCTTCAAAAAGGAAAAAGAATCTGAATCAGATTATGAAGGAGTTGATTTGCGGGTAGTTGGAAGAAATATACTATTTGGCATGCTCCAGCATGAATTTATCAACAACTCAAACCAAACCAGCCTGAATGCCCAGTTTAGCTGACTACAAAAATGTTGACATAACAAAACATCCAATAAAAGCTCCCATGGAAGCAGAAAGGATGGTAAAGTGTGGAGTAGATTATGCTACCATTAAATAGATACAGAACTGGTTGAACAGTCATTTCCAACAGGATATGAATTATTCTACCTCAAGCTGAAAAGATATGTCAAGTGACATAACATTTGCTTGATTCTAAACCCAGTTCTATTGAACATATTCTGAAATAAACAGCATCATGTTTATTTGAATTCTCCCCATCCTTCTCTAATTTCCACAATGAGCTCAAATATCAAAGGTGGCTTCCAGAACTTGACTCAAAAAAAGGGCTTGCTTTTGTGGAGCATATTTTATAGCCATGGGATCTCCCTTTTCTCCTCCACCCTCAGAGAAGCTTAGTTTAGGGCTCAACAAAGGCAGGTTACATATTAATGAGGACTAAGCATTTAGCAGGCACAAGGCACATGCTATGACAAAACAAGGGGAACAATGATCTAACTGGGGTTAGAGCCGGAAGTTTGTTATCTCATAGCTCACAAGAGTACATGGGAAGAAATAGCTTGAGTCAACAGCCTCTCTTTCAGGTGTTAAATGAAAAACGTAGTTCACATAGGCTCAAGACTAATCACACTTGATAACAGTATAATTGAAAAGTATCTGAATGTCTTGATGGATTTCTAGGATGAACATGATACAAGAGTGTGAAATGGGTCCAAAAAGAGCAATTGCAACTAAGCTGCATCAACAGAAATATAATGTCAAGATCACAAGAAGTCCTCTCGGTTCTACATTAAGCAGACCATAACTAGAATAATACTTCACGTTCTGGCCATCACATTTAGGAAGTACAGTGACAACCTGATGTGCAGAAGAAAACAAGCCAAATAATAATGAACTTGAAAGAAAAAAATGTGAGAAACTGTTGGAGGTGTTGAGTATGCTTAGTCTGAAGAACAGAAAACTGTGATCAAACAGAATAGTTGTCTTCAAATATTCTCTTTAAAAGGTTCTAATGTGTGGAAAGGTAGAAGGAAAGAGAGGAGGATGACTAGCAGCAAGATGGATGGATCCACTTACAGTGGCAATGAGTGCACTATTGGGAGACGGATTAGTGGTAGATTGTCATGGAGAAAAGCTAGCTATGTGGAGTTGAAAACAATTTGATGGCACATAATCAATTAGTCTTCAGGTATCTCAAGGTCTGTCATGGGGAAGACAGATTAGATTTGTTTCAAAAGAAAAGTAAGAATGAATGAGTTTAAGTAACAAGGAAATAGATTTTAGTTGGAAATCAAGAATTTTCTAGTGATAAAAGCTTTTCAATAATAGAACAGATTGCCTTGCAAAGTGGTGGATTTTCCTTTGCTAGAGGTGCTTGAAAACAGGCTGGATGGTCATCTGTTGGGAATATTATAACAGTAGGTTCCTGCATTGTGCAAGTGGGGGTGTACATGTGAAGTAGGTGATATTCAAGGCCCCTTCCTATCTTTACAGTCTATGATTCTATTAAACTACTTTGGAGAAAGAATCAATACTTATATCCTATCAATCAATCAATCTTACTTTTTTTAGCAAAAATTGCAATAGCTAGACAAGATTAGATAGATGATAGATAGATAGATAGATAGATAGATAGATAGATAGATAGATAGATAGATAGATAGAGAGTGAGTCAGACAGACAGACAGACAGACAGACAGACATCACATGCTACTTCGATACAATGATCTTTCACTAGCAAGAAATAGTCAAATAGAATATTGCATCCATAAGCATATTCCTACTCGTTAAAATCCTCCTCCTTAACAATATAGGGTTTTCCTTCCTCCAGAAGCACCGGAAATTTCATGCAAATTCCATATGCTGACAAGATGGATGAGTCAACATGTTTAGGCTATTTCCACTTTCACATCTGGCATATTAACAAAAGGAAAAGGAATAGGATTTGGTATGCTTTTTTGTGGGTTTATTCATTCAGAAGCCCATGCTGTCAGACCACAGATTTGTCCTGATGTTGTGACAGTGGTAAAGAAAGCAGGAAATATCTTTTAAAAATCAATATGGATTTTTGTATTGTACTTTTTATAAGTCAACCCCAATCTATATTGCAAACATAAAAATATATGATTTATTTGTGTTTCAAAGCATTTGATTAGTTTTATTTTTGCAAAAATATAGTACAAAACGCTTTGAATATGACCAGGGTAAAATCTATTTCTTCCTGTTGCCTAATCCAATTGGACCCGAATAGCTTCCCAGCTCCCGACAAACCCCTATAATCCCTTCTGAACCAAAAAATTGGGAATTGCAATATAACAACAAGGTGGGGATCTGCAACATTCCTTCTTGTGCCAGGGACCCTACAATGTCCCCGGCAATGCTGCCCCTCTTTCTTGCGGGGATGCAATAGTTATTGCAATAAATTTGGTCCATTCTCATCAGTGTTTTGCTCTGTACTTCTAAATTATCCGTGGAAATGATGTATATAAGAGAGTCATTCCTATTTTATTT